ATACACACACACACACACACATACACTGTATATACACACACAAAGATTACAGAACACTACCCGGGCTGCTCCCTCTGTCAGACCAGCTGTTGGAGAAGAGAAGCTCCCTGGAACACAGAGCCTAATACATTTATACAAGTTCTTGGGCTAACCCCTTTACGCAAACAGATATAGAATCATCATGAGTTGGAGACAGTCTGACGTCTCCTTCTCTTATCTTATTCTCCACACGCATCAAGCATTAATCAAAACAAATGAAGAAAGGATACACAGAGCCTAATACATTTATACGGTTTTTTGGGCTAACCCCTTACGCAAACAGATATAGAAATATCACGAGTTGGAGACAGTCCAACGTCTCCTTCTCTTATCTTATTCTTATTCTCCACACGCATCAAGCATTAATCAAAACAAATGAAGAACTCCATGTTGTTACGTGGTGTGTAACTAAAACAATCATTCAGGCGTAAATCTAACACAAGATTAATACAAGAAAACAATTGATGTCAAGATACACTTTACAGATTGAACATTATCTTCTAACCTTGAAGCAAATCACTATAGGCTCTATTTTATTATGGAGCCTCCTCCCGGTTCTTTCCAACCAGGAACTCAGAGGGACGACGCAGACCACTTAGATTTATAAAAAATAACCGTGCTGGTTTATTCAAGGATCACAGGCAAAATCACATTACGCGTACAGATCTCTCTCTCAACCCCCAGCCGCTCAGGCAGCCAGGAAGCTGAAAAAAAAAACCCCGAACCAAGAATTGCTATACAATATATTCAACCTAGTCGTCTCTCTCTCTCTCACCAGCTTTGCCGCTGGCCCTGGGGGTAGTCAAAACATGAAGCAAATCAACGTGTGAATGTCTGTTGTTTAAGTGGTGTGTAGCTAAAACATTATAACACAACAATCCACATTAAGAAAAATATTATGGTTACTTTTACCGTCACTGCAGTAATAACACATTAAAACACATTAATGTCTATAATTATCTGACTGAATTATTAATTTCTAACACTAGTTTTTTTCAGAAACTGTCATAGTTTCATTATGTTTTTCCACACAAAACAGTTAGGTTTAGAGAAAAAAACTACTTGGTTATGATTAGGGGAAAATGTATTTGTTCATGTGTAGGAACAAAATAACATTGTTACATTTAGGAAAACACAAGACACACAGTGGAATTTATCTAGACTCTCCTGAGAGAAGGTCCTATATTTTGTGTATATAGCTATCCACCCCAACCTTTTCCTGCTTCAGAGTTTGTGCTTCTTGTATACTTACTCCTTTCTTCATGTTATAAATAATTTCATCGCTAGATGTTGCCAAACTATAAAATATAACATTTTGTCATAATAACTTGCTGGCACAAATGCCATATACTATCATATTTTACAGTAGCACAATCTCAGCAAAAGAGTCAGCAAGGGTTGAATAAATCATGACCATTGAAAAGGATGCATTTGATAAATGTTTCAGTGAGCATAGAGCCATGTTAGTGTGTCTGCTGACTTGACGACCCTACCTAAACAAGCTCACGGACTTCACAAACTACAAAGATGGATATATAATCTGACAAGGTCTATACGATACAGCATGGGAATTTCAGGAAGCCTTTGGGCGAATTGCAGCCAGGCCTGGACTAAACAAAAATTATATCAAACAACACAGGGGACTTTAAACATATTTATGTTTATTAGTTTGTATAAATTAATATCCAGACAGACAATCGCATAAAGAATTATGCTAATTAAATTTGGTTCAAAAAGTTTAAGAACTTGTCACTGTTCATGCAGGGCTGCACCCATGAACTGGACTGGGAGAACTGGATCAGTACAACAGGGATTGATTTCAGTTCATTCTGGTCTTCATGGTAATTAACATCCACAGATAGACACTATACTCGACTCTTCTCACAGGATCAGTTGTCCACTGATGCAGACTGGTGTTGCTCCAGGAGGCTGAAACATGGGTCAGGTTGACTCATTATCAAACAGTTTTCTGAAGAAAGGAAAAGGGAATGGATGGAAGGAGCTGAAATCAATGTCTGCTATAGGATGCATCCAAACATCCTTTAGCAGATAACTCTATAGTTAAGGCTGCTACCTAAGCAGGTCCATGCAGGTGGTGCTAGTGCCCCTGAATGATCTCCTTTGCTCAGGAAACGATTTACACCTGCTAGATATATTAGATGCTGGTATGGCAGGATTCTTAAGAAAACTGCTTATATTTGAGTATATTCAAATGAGTTTGGATGAGCTGGAGGAGAGCTAATTACAGGTTGAGGTGAGTAGCAGAGTTTCTGGACTGAGGCCTAAGAAGCTGTCACAACTACATAGGCAAAATGACCTGCTGTATGCAGTAGGGAGCTACTGTATGACTTGCTGGATCCTGAGTTGGTGGACATATAAATCTTTGTCAGTGTAGGTGCCAGCTGTATGTTTATTGAAAGACAATTTGCCAACTCTGTTTTATAAATCATGTCTATTGCAACTCTTGTGTGAGAATTATAGCACTCGCGCTGCAAGTCGTCTCATCTGTATGAAAGCCTTTTGTGTGAATCTAGAATTTCACAATTGTTGTAATTACCATCATTATCATGTAAAGCATTTAAGCTTCATTGTCATTTTGTGAAAATGTGGCAGTAGGGCATGGGAATAATTTTGGGCCTGTGGCAAGCCAGTGCTGGACTACTAGCAGGACAAGGTAGAGGGTATTGAGTCTTGCCTGCCCAGTGGTTGGAGACCCACATAAACTTGCAGAGGTTGAAATCATGGGTGGAGATGAGAGAGAGAAAAAAATAATCACTTTTATAGAGCCAGCACACCTACCTTTTCCCTGTGCCATCATCTTGTTCACCTGTGGGAGGGAACACTCACCTCAGCCTTCCTGAGGCTTGCTTGCCACTTATCTGTGTTTCCTCTGGTTGTCTAACTTTAGAAGCTAAGCAATGCTGGGTGGGGTCATGCACCTGGATGGGAAGCCACTTGGAGACAGTAAGACAGGTGTCTGTGAACCCAGCTGACCCGCAGGCACCCCTGAATAACATGGCTGCCCCTTCTAATAAATCTCTTAAACTTCACTCTGACTTTTTGTCCTGCATTTGGGTCCTTCCCTAACTTGAAACCTGACAAGTTAGGCTATTTGCCGAAGTGTTACATATTCAAATGTGAACAACAAACATACATACTATTTCTTACAGCATATACAGTACTAACTCATTCTCAACACACAAGCTACTCTTATTTTTTTCTAAAGGGTTACATGTCAAAATAAAACTCTTATATACAGTATATCAATAAAACAGCTTTGAAAAACATTTTGACATGTATACTAATAAAGCAATGCTTGTGGTTCAGTGGGTATAGCAGTCATCTCCCAACTGGAGGGATGGAGGTTCGAATCTCAGTGTCTGCAGTCCATGTGTTGAACTGTCCCTGGACAAGACACTGAACCCCCAAGTTGCCCCCGATGGTTAGAGCCATCAGTTGAGTTGGCGCCGCAGATGGCTGCCTCAGTTCTGTACTGGAAACAAATTCTTTGTGTGTAATATACTTGGCCAAATAAAGATTATTATCCTTATTAATATCTTTGACATGTAAATGAAAAGTATAACAGTGACATCACGCTGCACTGACTGTGACTGACACATCCTGCTGCATCTGTCCTCCCACTTTACTGTAGTCCACAATAAGATACCAGAAAATGACATGCTTCGTGTTGTTGCATTATTTTTAAATTGGAAAAGTTGGTTTGTTGACAGCTGAGGGATCTGAATGCCATGTTTCCCCTGCAGGTAAGCCTGAATATGGATGATGGCCGGTCTCTGGGCCTAATGATTAGGGGCGGCGCTGAGTATGGACTAGGGATCTACATCACTGGAGTGGACCCTGGATCTGCTGCAGATGCCGGAGGACTGAAGGTACCCTGATTCTGTCTTGATACTATTGCTTTATTACACCACAAAACTCGTACAACATGTCAAATTGTTTTTATAATGTTCATAGTTTTTATTGTTTATTTATTAGGTAATCACAGTCATTCAGCATAACACATTTCCCAATCGTTTGCGATCCAGCCCCACCTGTCCTACTTGCAATGGTTGAAGGATGTCATCACAAAACCACAGAGGTCACTGGCCAAACTCAAATATAAAGACACACTGCAGCAAGAATTCAGCAGCATGAACACAAAACAAGACTTTAATACAGTGAATAAATAAAAACACAGACAAGATATAAAATCTACTCAGAGCCCCTTCTGGATGTCCAAAGTCTGCACCCTATCTCTAAGGGTAAGTCCAGCCACCCTACGAAAGAAACTCATTTTGGCTGCTTGTATTTGTGATCTTCTTCTTCCAGTCTCTACACACAGCTTGTGACCATAGGTGAGGGTTGGAGCAATAGACTGATAAATTGAGAGCTTTGCCTTTCAGCTCAGCTCCTTCTTCACCATGACAGTCCAGTACAACATCCACATTACTGTTGATGCTGCCCCTATCCGCCTTTCAATCTCACACTTGATTTTACCCTCACTTGTGAACAAGACCCTGAAATACTTAAACTCCTTCACTTGGGGCAGCAACTCACTCCCTACCCGGAGGGAGAAGTCCACTGCTTTCTGGCTGAGCACCATGGCCTCAGATCTGGAGGTGCTCACTCTCATCCCTGGAACTTCACACTCGGTTGTAAACTGCCTCAGTACATGCTGGAGGTCACAGTCTGATGTCCTACAGCTCAACTAGACTTTCCAAGTGATATTGGACCAATCAAATCAAATTCTGATAATGTTATTTCACAGGTTTTGTGATGCTTGGAACAATTTATTTATTGTTTTACATCTGCTCCTTTTTCAGTGATTCTCTATTGCTGTTTGCACATATGAACTCTGGAAGATGTCCACAGAAATAGTCCATGTCAGATGTGTTCTCAGCTATTGTTTGGTTTATGTAACTGTGGGGTGGGATAGAGCACACAGGACATGGAATATGACACGGTCATGTATCTGGTTGTTAATGACAGAAGTTCCTGAAATTTGTTTCTTCAGTTAGATATTTTCCTTGATGTCTTCATTGTAAATTACATTCTTTTTCACCATTGGATGTTTGTATTCTTCCAGTGTTACGTCCCCGTCTGCCTCGGGGTAAGAGAATATGACATATTTTAAAAAAAAAGACTGTGATACATTTAACCCATTTATCAGAACTGTGGTATAAATAGTCAAACAAAACATTAGGTTGATAGCACAAGCAAGGTGTCGGTATTCAGATGATCAGGCAGAAAGACCGCTGAGGAGTCTAGTCAAAGCATAGAACAATATGGTGGCTCCCCACAGAGTGAGGAGCTGTTATATACTGTGAGGAACAGGTGTGGCTGATGAAGTACATAGACGGTACATATCAGATAGATAGTACAAATCAGTTTACAAACAAGAGCCAGCACAACTAACAAAACAGAAAGTGGCTCAGCCCAACGAGAGAAGCTGCTCACACCAGACACAGCAGACACAGCCTCCAGAGAATGACAGTTCAGCTGGGCTGAAAAAGAGTAAGCATTTTGATTCAAAGCCAGAGATTTGTGTGTGCATCTCCAGCCTTTGGACAGATCTTGTGGTGAGCAAAGTGTATAATTCCATAGAGCTTGTCACCTGTCTCTTGCTGTCTCTTGCTGAACTACATGGCTTGCAGTAATATTAACCAGTTAAAAACTGCTGATCACAGAAGTTGAAGACACCTGGTTTTTGTGTTTACCGTTCTTTGTTCTGCAGAGACATGTCCCTGTTGTCACAGCATGGAAAACACTAGTTTTATCTCACTGGTTGGTTTTGTGGTAAGCAGTGTGGTCCTACCATCAGCTGGGCACCTTATCTATCAAGTCTGTGTGTGGAGTTAAACTCGGAGGTAGGTAGGAAGTGAATAAGTGAAGGCTTGTGGGAAATTGAGTTTGTGTAACTGATCCCTAAAATGGTAATGCAAGTGTGTGCAAGTGCGACTGGCATCAAAATGTGATGCATCCCTACAATTACATAAAATTTGATAAAAATAAATGCAGCCATGATGGTAACTGTGACATACTGTATAACCTACTTAAGGAAAGTTTTGAATTGATTTTCATACCAAGTGGAAGTTCAACGTAGAGAAACAAAAATCTAAAAAGTCATCAGCACTGTAAAGTATAATATATGTCACAGTGAATAGCAGCATATTTGATTTGTGGGAAAACACTGTGAAATATTAAATACTTCTAGTTTGGATCTTTAAATCTTAGTCATGGATTGATGTGAAAATTTCTGACAGTGTTTCAGCTGTTATTTCTAATATCTGTTTTCTGATTTTAACAAAATCCTGCCACCTGCTCCTTATAGCCTGCTAAGCTTGTTAGCATTACTAACATCTGCTCCCTGCCTCACAGGCTCAGTCAGGCAGCTGCCTTCGCTGCCATGACAGGTCTGCATAAATGCTTTTATTAGTTATGCTAAATTACTGCTGTGTACTTTCAGGTCAGCTTTTTGCTTCTACAAGCAGGTCACTCTCACTCTGTGCTATTTTTCAGCCTGCCTGAGGCAAGAAGAACAGAAACCAGTGCTTCCTACCTGTAAACAATACAGTTGAAACATCAATATGACATTCATGATAATAATGACACTGTGTCCTACATGGAGATAAAATAAAACACCAAATTTATGGTTTCATCCTTACTAGTCCAAACTAAGTGGGACATCTGGAAAAAGTAGAAATCACAGACAATTTAACAAAGCAGGGCGTGAAACCCATTCTAAAAATTTTTAATGTTGTCCCTTTAAAGATGAAGTGTGACATTTTTCAATTTCTTTGACAGAAAGAAATGAAGAGGTAAAAGGGTACTTTTTTAAAGCATGGAGGGTTGGCTGGTCATGCTGAAGAAATTGAGTTTTTGGCATGCTATGAAAGAAAACAGTGGTGGAAGACGTACTCAGATTTTTTACTGAAGTAAAATTACATTGTACTTTGTATCCATACTGTATTTACTGAAGTAAAAGTACATTGTACTTTGTATCCATACTGTATGTTGACCAGTGTTGTGACAGTAAATCGGATGGAGAGTTGGGTAGACACAGCAGCAGGGGATCATAACAAGCACATCTAAGGCAGTTTCTAACAATAACATCAGGCGAAGGAAATTGAAATGACTTTTATTTAATGAACACATCTAAATTTATCTAAATCTAAATCTAAAGATTCTACATTTTGAACTACAGCTCTTGTTCTGCAGTCAGTAATCTCTGCACTGATCAGATGCCATTCATGGTCTCTACGGGATGATCCTGAATATTTTTGGTGACCCTCCCTGTCCTTCTGGATTTTTTTTGTATAGTGCTGCCCTCTCAGGCTAAATTTCCTGCTTGTACGCAAGAAATACTGTATTAAAATCCAATGAACAGATTGCAACAAAATGCCAGATGGTATGACTTTTTAGTGTTTATAGTTTTGCTATACTGGCACAACCTGTCCAGGGTGTACCCCTCCTCTCGCCCAGTGTCACCCGGGATTGGCTTGAGCCCCCCTCCCTATGACCTTCTTCAGAATAAGCAGTATAGATAATGAATGGATGGATGGATGGCTGGATGGATAGTTTTGCTGTTATAAAGCTTAAAGCAGCAGTATACTGTTGGCTTGGACACAGTTTTAAATTGTAATGCTATCTATTCCTGACCTCAGCATTGCTGGGAAACTTCATCATTCCCACTTTGTATTAATAGGCCTAGCTGAAAGTCACATTACTCATTTATATTTGTACAACACAGTGACAGCTGGTGTTGCCCATTCATTACTTAAAAAAAATTAAATCCATACCCATATCCATTAGAAAGTGATATAAATTCATTCAGTTAGAAACTGTTTTCTAACCTTGGAGAGGTTATTTTGACACCAGCTTAGAAATCTAAAAATGAAAAACTTTAACTCAGTGTTTGTATTGTTGAATACTACTGCACAAGCTGGTTTGGATGATCTCTTGTTACCCTGTCTGAATGTTAAATTTCCATGTGGTTGAAATGCTGCCTCTCGAGACAGATCCACAGTAGTCAAAACCTGTTTTTTTGCTCCTTCTCAGTATCCCATCTTACAACTTGATCTTTAATTAGTAACAGCCCCTGTCTCCCTTTGATCAAGTCACAGTTTTGTCTGTCATGTCCTTTGCACTGAATGCATCATTGACAGACAATAGAGCAGAACTGGCTTCTTTCTACATTAAAAGAGCTTCAAAGTCGAACGAACACTAACTGCTGCTGAGAGATTAGACAGTGATTCAGTATTGGCCCATTATTAACCAGTGGATAGCCAGTTAGTATACAGTATTTAACTCTGACATAATTCCATTGACACAAATACATTTATTTGCCATTCATTTACAACCATTTTTAAAAACTATATGGCCTTGAAACATTTTCTACTTAAACATGACGACCAAAATCACCAAAATTGTATTGAATTTATATGGCCTTGAAACATTCTCTACTTAAACATGATGACCAAAATCACCAAAATTGTATTGAATGTATAAGGTCAAAGGCACTCAGCACTGTTGAACAATTTCTCACCGTAAGATGAAATAATAGACATAGATTATAAAAGCACAAGGTGTGTTTTGCCAGAGCAGTGACCACTAAGTGGTTTTCCTCTCTTGTGGTCTGATGAATAACATTCATTGCATCTTATCTGTGGCATTCTTCTCATGCATCCTGTCTTGACAAGGGCCAGGACCCCACCTACTGTTTAGTTGTTGAAAAGAGTATAATTAACTTCTGTGCAGCATTTTATGTGGGTTTATATGTCTGTGAGCACGGCACCCTGCAGACGACTCAGCGAGTTGGGAAGGTTATGACAACCTTGGATTTCACACTCTATTTGGTACTAAATATGCGGCCTGAGGTTGTAACAATGAAAAACATCTTGCATTTAATTTATATTCAGTCAGTATACAACATGTGTGTGTTGCTGTGGTAGACTTGGATATAGCCTTGATCTGGATTTTTTTCATGATTAGTGGCCATTTATCTCCAAAAAAACATTTTAAATTCTAGGTACCTATTTTCAGAACCTGCTTTCTTTTTTCAGGCTCTTACAAAAATAACAAAAAATATATTTTGCTTTAAGGGACCTCTCTGTGTTTTCAGTGGAATAACCCTCTGCCAAAACAAGTAGTTTGTATAAAAACTGCTGTCTGTGGATTACGTAGAGTAACAGAGACTGTGTTTTTGAAAATAAGATGCTTCTGTTGAATTTTTTAAATGTCACTTCTCACTGTTAAATTATTCTGCTGCAGGTGGGTGACCAGATCCTGGAAGTCGATGGTCAGAGCTTTGTCATCATCTCTCATGATGAGGCAGTTCACATCCTCAAAACAGGATGCCACCTGCGGATGAAGGTGAGAGATGTGGGTCGTCTGCCTCATGCACGCACAGTGGTGGATGAGACCAAACTGATCTGCGGTCAGGGCACATCTGAGACCAATGCTACACCTAACCCAAGTTCTGTCACCAACCCTCCTGTCAGTGCTGGTATCCAAGCTAGTGTCAGTGCCACTACCTGCACTACAAGGTGAGTTCATTATGCTAGAGTGACTATAATTTTGTCAAATACAGTGAATACTTGAACTGTCAAAGTTCATTCATTCAAATGTGGAAACAAGGCCTGGGTCAAACACTGACAAAAAAGTATATAGCTAACTTTTAAAAGAAAAGAGAGAAACATCTTACATTTACTTTAACATTCTGTAACAAAAAAAAACAATATCTTACTCTAAATTAGAATAGTAAATTATAAAACTTACTCTAAATTAGGTATTCAGCCTATAAACAAATGCGTTCACAAGAATGACAAGAACATAGGGTTACAGGGACCTTTGACCACCAAAATCAGTTTATCCTTGAGCCACTTGTGCCAAATTTGAAGAAATTCCCTCAAGGCTGTTCTCAGATATCACATTCATAATAATGGGCTTTATGAATGTATAGACAACATGAAAACAAAATACTTCCGGCCACAGGTATCGCTGGAGGCATAATAATGTAGGCAATGTAATAATTGAGAGTGACACAGTGTCTCAAAAGGCATAGTATGGGGTCTGAACATGTAGACCTAAGCATAATGAAGTAATATTTAGGCAGTGCCTCCAGCCAATGAACTGAGAGTGCCTTAGTTAAGCCAATCCACTAACCTTTATGGGGGCGACAGTGATGCGGTGGGTAGAGCAGTCATCTCCCAAGGTTGGAAGGTTGAAGGTTCGAGTCTCGGTGCCTGCAGTCCACATGTCGAAATGTCTTTGGGCAAGACACTGAACCTCCCATGTTGCCTGTGATGGTGGCGCGTATGCACGCAGCAGCCCTCGGCTACAAATAAAAATGTTCCTGAGGAAGATCGACACCCACAAAGCAGCAGGACTGGACAACATGCCTGGGAGGGCTCTCAGGGCATGTGCCAGTGAGCTGGCTGATGTTCTCACCACCATCTTCAACCTCTCCCTCAGCCAGAGCATCGTTCCCACCTGCTTTAAGACCACCACCATCGTCCCCCTTCCCAAGAAGAGCCCGGTCACCTGCCTGAACGACTACAGGCCAGTGGCACTCACCCCAATCATTATGAAGTGTTTTGAGAGAGTGGTGCTGGTCCGCGTTCAGAGCAGTATACCGGACCCACTGGACCCCCTGGACCCCCTGCAGTATTCCTACCGGAAAAGTGCTAAAAAATGGTATATTACTAGGGCTTTTATGATTGTTGATGTGCCGTGCAGCCATCTTGGATTTTAAAGTCTGGGTTGGTGTAGTTCCTACAAGAAGGAATTCTGACCCCAGTTCCAGTTGAAATTGCCGACTAGGAACTTGAAAATACCGACCTCAGACTTCAAATGGAACATAGCATATGTGCCAGCAATTTGTATATATTTCAGGGGTTTTTTTTGTGTTTTTTTTTGCCTTTAGCTCAGGTTCACAGGCTCAGATGGCTATAGTTCCATCAAATTACGACAAACCTGTTTGTAGTATGACTGTACACAAGTTTTCTATTGGATAATTAGATCAATTGTTTTTAAATATGCTATGTATTGTTTTCTTATTTGTTTCAGACCATCATCAGCCAGAGCTACACATTTATTAGGAAAGGTAAGAATGGTACCCATGTATTGCTGGCCTCTATGTACATATGAATACTATTTGCATGGTGTTTGTCTTAGCTTACAGATTCTATAATATTCTGTATATTCATCTGAGGACGTCATGCTTTCTGCCTTTTGAACAGAGGTGGGACTAGAGTTTAATGACATTGGACCTGAGTTTGACTTTAACAGTATTAAAGTGTGACTTCATTTGGACTTTATCTTTTTGACCAGGCCTGATATCCCCTGGAGACCGAAATTTGAAAACTGCTTTAAAAATCCCTGATAACACATTTACTCTGAATTACCTCTACTGCAGTCTATCATATTGCAAAACCAAATGGAAAGACATGTTTGTCAGTGCAGACCAGCAGAGAGTAGATATATGATCAGGTAGCATGCTTCTTACTGATGCATTCACTAGTTAAACTAATAAAAATTTTGAAACCAGTGTCTAGACTCACTGGCACGATACAGTATATACTGTATAGTTAATGTTTATGAACTTAAATTGTAATGATGAGTATTAGTATGAAATACATAGTATTTATTCACTTTATTTTATGCATAATTTACTGAAGCTGTTATTCCTGGTTGTATTCATGCTGTTTAAAAAGTACTGAAAACAGATCACCCTGTTATGGTTATCTTAAGTTTGTGGTTAACTATGTGTTATTAGAGGTGTCATTCCCACTGTCCCAAAATAAGAAGGCTCATGTTTTTGACTAAATATGACATATGACAGTATTGGAAAGGCCATATCGATGGTATCCTTTTGTCTGCTGTATAACAGTTTCCCTAGATGTAACATTTCATTTAATTGATTAATCCATTAGATTCTTTAAAAATATACATGCAATGATGCTAGAGCTGTTCAGAAGATATTTTTTCATAAAATATACAGTATAGTTTTTGATGAATAAGATCATATAAAAAGCTTACTAGAGATGCTTTACTTAACTATCAAAACTACTGTGTACATGTTGCAATTACATCTTAAGTTATTAACCTATATCAGCTATGTAGCTCAAAAGAAATGATTGGTTATGTGGTATATTGTCTTGACAACTGGGACTAAAATTTAAAATGAGTGCACATAAAATGAAAGTAAATCATACAACCTAACAGATGCACACATAAAATATCAAACATTTGTCACTTGTCACTAAATTAAATCTGCCACCCAGCTGAACCAGTAGATGACTGATGTTGGCCCACATAGTCTCTGCTACAGCTAGATGTAGCTCTTTACCTATTGTATAGCATTGTGATAATCAGGTTAAGATGACAGACAGGTGACCAGCTGTCCTTTGCTGGGAGGTCCTGGCTCCTAAGACTGTGACTATGTGGTCAATCTATGTGGATAGTCTGACCATGTAGTCAAAATCTTACAATCTAAATGGTTACTTTCTTGCCTGAAAAAATATCAAAACTCAGTAAAGGCCCGGGGATTTGTCTGTGCATTTGTGTCAGAATCATAGAATACTGAGCTAGTGGAAGAGTCTGGTGCCATAAAGCAAAATGCAGCTATTACATGAGGCTCCCAGGACAGTGATCCAAAGTTATATAATGTAGCGACAGGAGATCCAGGCAGTGTCAATAGCAGAGATGCCATTTACCTTATTAGACATCTGTCTGCCGTCAAAATTATTTTAAAGCTGATATTTTAATGTAAAAAAGTTATGTATTGTTATTTTAAAGAATGAAATAAAATATGAGGAAACAAAGACATAAACACTAAATATTCACCATAAGAATTGTTTAGTTTAGATAAAACAAGGCCATACTTAATACCATGAGCAACAGTGCTATAGCAACCTTTTAGGGACAAGCCAAGTTTGTTCACTAAGTCTTTTCAGGTTGAACTCTTATGAGACACATATAATTTTATGACCCAGTCTGGAAGCTCATCTGCCAGCATTTGCTGAAAATACAAATACAGGGACTTTTGGCACAGCTGTAGATTGATGTCTCAGAATTATCTCCTGGTTCACTACAACATTGCTTGTTGCTGTTTAAAATGCAAACCCTCTACTGCTTCAAAATACTGACAGAGCTCATGTGCAGCTGTTGTCTGCTGTATCTTCTTGTAAAAGGGAAAGTTAAACAATATATTTTCACAGTTACATATCCTATAAGCCTCCTTGTCACTTATAATCATTTTGTATCTATATTGCATTGTCCATCTTACTTGCTATCTGCTTGTGCTGCCATGTGTTTCCTCTGTGAATCCTGATTTGGATGTTTATTTATATCTCTGCTTTCTGTGTGGATTGGAAGTGTTGTGCATTAACAGTTTATTTGTCAGACAAAAATGCCTCTTTCACCTTGTGGGGTTTAGATAACGAGAAAAGGTAATAACCTGCTCAAAGTGATCAATCTCAGCTCTGACTCTGGATCTCAAGTGACTTTCCTCCCAAGAGCAACAATAGCATCTGTCAGTCGCTCAAAATGCCTAATACTGGTCCATAAGTATGTCTGTACATCACAATTACATCCAGTTCAGTGCCCAGCCATAAAGTACTGACCTTATGTGTTTCAGTGTTGTCTTTTAATTCCCTGTTTAAAGTTGAAGTGGAATTTTATTTCATTGTGTAGGTCAAGGTCAAGCTAATGTACTGCTGCATGCTGTAGCACACAATAAGTTAGTTTAAATCTAGTTAGCACCAAAAAGTATTCTTTTGTAATTCATTATCAGCTGTGAATATGATGTTTTTCTGGCCATGTAAATTTGTCATTAATGTGGACATGTGTCCCAACTTTAAGAAAGTTCTAACACTGTAGGCTGTAGTGCTATATATTGACTGTAGCTAGCAAGGGCAACCACAATTTGACAGACAAAAAGGAAATGGAACAAAGAAAATGTTTGGTGTTCTGTGTATGAATGAATGAATGAATGGACACTTTATTGTCATTATACATAAGTACAACGAAATTACATGTGCCACATGTAATATATTGTATAAAAAACATAAACTGTCCATTCTCATGGCCACCATGTCCACATCCATACAACCATACAGCAATAAATAGTTCGTAATAAATATTAAAATACTGATACTGAGTGTAGCATCTTAAATTATTGCACATAGTTAGCAGCATTCAGAGTTCAGATTGCCCAGGGATAAAAGCTGTTTTTAAGTCTGTTAGTCCTGCTTTTCAGGCTCTTGTATCTGCTCCCAGAGGGCAAGAGGGCAAACAACTCATGTCCAGGGTGCGTGTTGTCCTTCAGGATGTTCCTGGCTCTGCTAAGACATCTTGAGCTGGCAATGTCCTCCAGGGAAGGCAAGGGGCTTGTGTAATGTCAAAATGAGGTCATACAATAAGTCAGGGTGTAGATTTAGTGATGGGAGTTCACTGTCTCCAATTTTTATGCAGGTGATCAGATTATTGTCATGTCTTCACTGTCTATAGTTCAACCAGATCTGATCTCCTACGGGAGAGCTGTTCAAAAATGTTCTGATCTTATTTGTGTGCAGTATGTGTAGAAAGGATGATTGAAACATATAGTGTCACTTAACATCACATAAAATGAACAAAACCATACAGTGCCTGCTAAGCTTCATGCAATATGTGTATGCTTTGAGAAGTTGTAGTGGCTGTGTGATCTATGATTTGTATCTGTCTGGAGCAGGAAATCTCTCCGTTTAATAGCATGGGTCAGAGGTTTGGGTTTGGATGTCAGATTGGGAAAAACATGTTTACATTTCAATTGTATGTGGTTGATCTCTAGTTTATTCATTTTTTCATCCTCATGATCTACTTTAACAGTGTAGATAAGGCAAGTGTGGGTGGAAGGCCACAGTCTGCTAAAGCACTATACAGCTCTGTGTTCTCTCTGGAGACTTTTGCTTACTCATGCCACTTTTTTGAGCAAACCAATCAAGCCTCTGATTTGATCTAAGCCCTCTTGAAATGACACTTTATCCACATATTATGTTTCACTGTGACATATATTGCAGTGCTAAGGTTAAAGATGGTCTAAATCATGGGTTTTCAACCAGTGGTTCATGGCCCACTGGTGGTTTACGAAGGCTCTGCTGGTGACCCCTGACCATACATTCAATAATGTAGTTGCACTGCAACTAATTAATTAATTTTATTCCTTAAACAAATTTCTATGTATTGAGCGACGCGGTAGTTAGTGCTGTTGCCTCACAGCAAGAAGACCCCAGGTTTGAGCCCTGGCCGAACCTGGTTCCTTTCTGTGTGGAGTTTGCATGTTCCCTGTGCCTGTATGGGTTCTCTCTGGGTACTCCTGCTTCCTCCCACAGTCCAAAGACATGCAGCGTAGGTTGGTTGGAGATTCCAAATTGTCCCTAGGAGTGAGTGTGTGCATGTGTGGTTGTTTGTCTACATGTCAGCCCTGTGACAGACTGGCGACCTGTCCAGGGTGGACCCTGCTTCTCACCCAGTGTCAGCTGGGATAGGCTCCAGCCCCCCTGCATCCCATCTATCCAAGCCACAACAGTGGGCCTTAGGCTCCTATTTCAACAGAATGGTGGTCCCTGGGTCACAAGTATTTGAAAACACCTGGTCTAAATGTTTCATTGAGACATTAAAGGCAATCACATACAATGTACTGTACCATATGTGTCCTCTAGTTTGTCGGACTTGTTGCTATCATTCATGTGTCTCTGTTCCTCTTACTATTGATTAGCATAGATGCTGAGAAACTTTGAATTTAACTAGGATGTTCACCCTAACCACTAATACCTAAACCTAACACCTAACCCTAATGGTCAGTTTGGATATTTAATGTTGCTCATTTTCTGTTGCTAAGCAATAAAATTGCATGCTCATATTTACAAAGGAGTCACAGTAGGGTTTTGCAGCAAAGAAACAAGAAGTGTGGCACAACAGGAATGTACCTGTTTGGTTTCATGCAGTATGTATTTTAAGCCATTCCTGTTCAGGGACACAAAAACCAGGGAGGAAAGAATGAAAATGTACACAAGTACCTCAGCACCTGATTGACCACTGCTGTGACAGAGGGAACTGTTGCTGGAGTCCCCAAGACATGCTTATTTTGCTCATTTCCAGCCATTTAATGTTTAATCTTGGGTACTTCTAGATTAGCTTGGCACCTCTCATAACTCCAAATAGTCTGTATTTTTCTCATAATGTTAACAACATTAACTTGATTTAGGAATTGATTCTTCAGTCCAACAAATTAACGATCTTCACCTCACCTCTGTATTGTCTTCATCATGTCTCATTTCATTTCTGTGTCTATCCCAGGCTACCATATATTTTACACTTTAGCACAGGGAATAGCTATCTCATTAATGCAACAAGCCCTCCAACCTACACAGTAGAGGTTGTCTCTACCCTCTGATATAACCCTTAAGGAACATTTCCTAAATTAGCACCCCAGGTGGTGGTAGAAAATATGGCACTGGTAAACTGTTGGAAAAACAAAAACCTTTTTTTATGAGATGGCAGTGCTATGGTAAATGATTAGTCAGGGTTTATACTGTAGGCACAACAATCCCCAAAGCATTACGGATTAGGACAGTCTGCATTAATGGCCAGCCTGTATGGTTCTGATGCCTGCCTTGTCATACTACCAGAGCCCCTTCTAATGAATTCTTTATTTGTTTTGCATTATTCACAACCAAACCGTTTTGGGAGGGAAAATCTTTTTTCTACTTGCAGAGCAATTTTATTCTGTTTATTCCCTACAAAGGTTTTTCACAGTTGGACCTTGTCAGTCTAACAACAGTGTGAAACACTGTTTCAAAGTCAAGCTGCTTATGAAGATAATGATAGAGTCCTAAAGCAAACAAACTGTGATTCATTCACCCTGCAGCTTTGAAGGGATGCATTTTTCTTTAGTGTGATAAGCTCAGCCACTGCCATTTGGGTCGAGGATGAAGGTGGGGGTGATGGAATGTCTATACACATCTGAAGACTTTCTATCTGCATGTTACTGGGCTGGGATAACTTTTCATATCCTATCTGTGTGTGGCCCTCATTTTTCTTTCTTCATTTGTCAACCTATCTGTTCATCCAGCCAGGAGTATACAGATGTGTGGGTCCACCAGGTACTCAGGTGTCTCTGGAGCAGCAGGCCTACATGCTGCTGACAGAGCCAGAAAGGCAGACCATGGCCTACTACCTGCTGGAGTACCAGGATGGACACATAGGAGTGGAGCCACTGGCCATGGCTCTGTTTGAGCTCTTCAACACACATGCAAAGGTGCAGCAACCTGCAGCAGCTGCAGAGTGATTACATATGGTCTCTATAGGGTCCAAAAGGAAGCTAATTGTTTTCAGATTGTGAAATAATGTTATTGAGTACTTTGTAGAAAAAAAGCTTGTATATATCTATAGTTGAGTACAAAAGTTTGCATGCCCTTACTTTGAAATGGCAAAAAGAGTAAAACAAATTGTTTTCTCATCAACATAATTTTTAATGTCCATGCAGATTCACAGTCATCCAGGTCATAGTAAGCTGAAAAAACCTAGAAAAAATCAACTGGACTAGATTTTTAGGTCAAAGGTCTCATCCAAGAGGCTTCATCAGAATTGCCCTCTGAACTGATGAAGCCTCTTGGATGAGAGTAATAGGTCCTTATTTGGAGATCCCTTTGAAATCTACCAGGTTGATTCAGTTAAGTGAGATACTTAGCAGCTGGCCAAACCACTCTGCTCTTTTTACTGTACCTTGCTCTTTGCTAAATAAAAAGAAATCTACACACAGTAACCTAGTATAGCATCTTGTAACATCCTCACCTGACCT